CGGTGTTGGCGTTCTGGTAGAACCCAACCTCGCCGATAGAATAGTCGATTGGAAGCCTATCAGCGGAAGGGTGGCAATCTTTCGACTGAAGCTACTACAGGCTAAATCAATGACCGTGGTAAAGGTCGGTGCGCCCAATTTGGAGGGAGAATATGAGGCCTTCCTTGAGGAATTGCAGTGTGCTCTGTCTGAAGTGCCGAATACAGAGTCCCTCATACTGATGGGCGATTTTAATGAGCATGTCGGAGTAGACGCTGAAAACTGCAACGGTGAGATTGGGAAAACCGGCCCTAGCGACCTCAGAAATAACGGCATCAAGTACTTTGCGCTTTTGTACAAACAACGGACTGTCCATTATGAACACCTTCTTCGAGCATCGAAAAGTGCACCTAGTACCGGGAAGCTTGTGCACAGAAGTCGATGATCGAGTTCATAATCGTATCGTCTGACCTAAGACGCTCAGTAATGGATGTTCGTGTTAAAAGAGGCGCAGAGCCATCAACCGATCACCACATTGTTGTTGGCACGCTGCGCTGTAAGAAATGGAGTACCATGCGAAGATCCGGTGGCAGAAGCAATCAGAGAATCAAATGGGAAACATTGTCTTCGGTGGACACGAGAGCGAGATTTGCAAACAACATCGCACGATGGCTTGAACAGATCCCAGTGATGACAACTGATGTTGAAACCGAGTGAGAGCTGTTTAAGGAGGCCCTACTCGAAGGCTGCCGCCGAATGCTGCGGATATAAACGGGTTGGCCTGCCGCCTGGAGGTCAGAAAAGATCTTCATGTCTACACGGGAGGTACAACTGACAGTTAAGGAGAAGAAAGCAGTGTCCAAGAAATGGCTTGGAAACAAGGAGCCATCTACATGCGTGCAATATGTCGAGGCACGCAAGGCGGCAGCCATAACAGTGGCAAAAGCCAAGACTGATTCCTGGGAGAAGTTTGGTGAGGTGTTGGAGTCGAATTTCCACACGGCAAACAAAGTATTCTGGCAGACCATCCGTCGGCTCCGAGGTGAAAAAACGGGCAATCTCAGAGTTTTGAAGGACAGATCTGGACACCCTCTTGCCAAGGATGATGCCATTCTTCGGCGATGGAGGGAGGACTTTGAGGAACTCCTTAAGCCAGCGCAACAGCAGGAAGACTCGCCTGTAGAGCAGAAGGGTACGGATATTACTATCTCCGTAGATGAAATTGCAGAGGCTGTGAAAAGCTTGAAAAATGGAAAAGCTGCCGGAAACGATGAAATCCGCGCTGAGATACTCAAGGCATGTGCTGGCTAACACGTGTCTGTCAAACTGCGATTACTGCGGGAAAGACACCAGCGGAGTGGAGAACGGGAGTCATTGTACCCATATTTAAGAAGGGACACCACAAGGACTGCTCCAATTATAGGGCCACAACGTTACTGAGCTTCCTAGGTAAAGCATAAGCAAAGGTGCTAGAATGGAGGTGCCGTGAAGTAGCTTACTCAAGATCCAAGAAGGGCCTCCGGCCCGGTCGAAG